AGAGTGGGAGCTTTAAGCTCGCTCAGGGACGATCATTTTTAATCACGCGCACACGACCGTGTGAAGGGGAACGTTGATGCTTGTAAGTATTTTGCGTTATATATACACATATATATACATACATATACATATAATATATATGTAGCAATGAAAGTCATTATACTCGCAATGTCGCAATTCTATACGTGAAATGCAATGATTTTTCGCAATTTTTCTTTTCACAAATTCTGGGAATATAAAACTTCTTGACTGAGATGTGATCAGATCCGTTTTTATCACTGAAAATTATGCGGTAACATTCCAATTTGATGGATTATGATGCATTTATATTATAAGTTAGTTTATAAGGCGTTAGTTATAAGAAAAAACTACGTTAGTCACAAAATTTAGATGATCGATTATGATAGCGTATAACTGTTAATTCTTTTGATCCTTGCATCTTTGAAAAGCAAGATCGTCGACAATTCATCTTTGAGCATCATAATAGATATCGCTATAAATTAAATCGCGAGATTATGTAATATGGATGATGGAAAATATGATTAAAATACGTCATACAGGATAAATATAACTAAACTTTAAATATCGTCAGATTTAAACTTTAATACTTGGTTTCGTTAGTATACGAAGAGTGAGCCTTTCTGTTATTCTTTTCAGTTTTAATGTAGCGCGGAACTAATTTCAAGAAATGCCATGATTTGCTTTTTCGAGCGAGGATTGTAATTACTATTCAAGATATCATGGATAATATCACGGATCTAAGAGATGATGTTAGCGAAACAGTTAAACCGGATTAATCTCAAGCAGAGTAGAACAGACAGGATCTCCTATGTTTCGAAGAGGATTGCAAAACTGACAAGTCGTTTCTTTAACGCGCTCGAAAGAAGCTTCTCTTGAAGGCTTCGGCAAACGGTACAAATACTTCATTACGATGAAAGCTTTTCCCGAGTCTCTTCTTCTTCACATCCCCTCTCACTTCATGTTTTCACTCGTGTGTTTATATACTATACTCTCTACTTCTCTTTCGTTCCGCCCTCTTTGTAAACTTCTCTCTCGAGGATATTTGCATGCATGCGTTTTTACAGCGCAATATCAGAGGTAGTTTAGGGGAGGAATGAGATAAATTGTGACAAAAGTGTTAAAATCCTGTTATAAAAATATCAGGATCAATAATATATAATAAGCAGTGTTTTTCGCCTTTTTCGTGTTCTTTTCATGCCTTTTTATTATTTATTTTATAAATCACCGAAAGACATATATATAGGATGTTCCGAGAGTTTTTCCCAATCACTTTTGTGTAGATAGAGCGGACTAATATAAACTGATTGTGAGTCGAAAAGTTCTCTATCATTTTGTAAATTTCGCAATAGTTAACAAGATATTAATTTTTAAGGTAACCGAACATTGGTGTTCAGTAATTTTTTTCTCAAATACTATCAATAAAAATTCGGCCCCGCACAAAAATATACATATAGATTTAATATAATTAAATATAAATTTTATTAAAATTTAATATAATACTAAATAAGATCTTAATAATGATTCTAATAAATTTGATTTTATTATAACCTTATATAGATTTAATTTGAATCATATAATGATCCATATTAAGTTATATGAGATTATATTTAAACTTGTTAAGACCATATTAAAACATATTAATTTAACTTATTTAAAACTTGTTAAGATTTAATTAAATTATATAAATTGGACTTTAATAAGATTTAATAAGGACTTATTAAACTTAAATAAGTTATTAATATAAACTGTATTAAAAATATATATATGTTCGCATTTTTATTTATAAGGTTATATAAAAAGACTTTATAAATTCTTTATATGAATTTTGATGAAATCCTTATAAAGAACTTATAAGACTTTTATTTAGAATATATTAAGTTTTTTTTTGCGGGGCTATTTTTAAAAATTAATATCTCGTTATATATTTCATAAAACATCTACTTCTAATTATTATATACTTCGGTCACTATTTCCTTCTTTCTTCATATTGATATAATTATTATTCAATGTATTATATAATTTTTATTCTAAAAAAAAGAAAATAAATTTATAATAAACTTGATTTCCAAAACAACTATATCCTTCCTCTCTTATTCTCTTGTTCTCTCGCTCGTTCTCACGCTACATCTCGTTCGTTCTCTCTCTCTCTCTCTCTCTCTCTCTCTCTCTTCTCTCTCTCTCTCTCTCTCTCTCTCTCTCTCTCTCTCTCTCTCTCTCTCTCTCTCACACAAGTCTATTTGTCATACCACAATAACTCAACTTTCGCTCGTTCTCTCGCTGTCTCGTTCGTTCTCTCGCTCCCTCTCTCACTATATCTCGTTCGCTCTCTCGCTGTCTCTAAAGAAAATAAATTTATAATTTACACAATGTTAGTATAACATAAAAATAAAAGAATATTACTACGTCGACCCGCCATCAGAGGTCTATCGATATTCGTAAATTCTCGCAAGTACTTTGATACGCATATATCTCTTTATATAGAATCTCGATTAATAACTCTCTCAGGTGTATAAGGTAGGCTTCCACTATAATGCCTTACTAATGAGTCCAGTAGAGAAGGCCGGGACGAAACGCCAAAAATTACGTGATATTCTTCGCAATATATTAGAATAAAATTAATTATTTTAACGAATTTGTTTGCTCTTATCAATTTTTTGTTTAATGCCACTGATTGATCGTTTACTATATTTTTATTTTGATTTGTGTATCAAACACAAAATTGCTTATCGAAATGCTTGAACCATTCACTCCAGAGAAGTCTCGAAGACGAAAGAGAAAGGGGATAAGGTTCGGATGAGCAACTTGTACAACAGGAACGTTACAGCGAGGTCCAATAACTAGATTAGCTCTAAGCGTTTCCCGACAGGGCACTCACTTTAAAGAACCACTCTCTCTTCCTCTCTTACGCTACGACTACTCTCTTTAGGATCCATCCCTAAATATCCTCTGGGTGTCGTGAAACGTGGTAAATTGCTGACTTGGAAGATAACATGTGGATTGCCATTTACTAATTGATGCAATAAAATAGGATGTTGTTTTTATCGCATTTTTTTCGGCTGAAAGAGTATTTGATTGGCTTTCTGTCCCACTCATTTTGGAATCATTTAGAATAAAACAATTATATAAATATTAATTTTAAATGCTACTTTAACTTAAAAATCCAACATTTTTTAAAATAGTTCTAGGGTTCGAAAGTTCAAAACTTTACAGACTTGCAGTCTGCAAAATCGATAAATCAAGAAATTAGTTTAAAAAGTTTAGCATTTTGAAAATTATTACTTTCGCGTATTCAATATTCAGTATTTTTGAAAAATCTTCAAATATCTATTTACATTATTCTTATTATATTGAAATGTATTTTTTGCTGTTTTTTTGAAAATTCTTGTGGCTAGTCAGATTATTCACACAACTAGCTAAAAAATAAGGTAATATTCTTTCGGATACCTTTGCGGTGTCGGAAAAAAAAAAAGTAAAACGTGACGTGCTCGCCCGTAAAATTCCGATCATCGAATCGAGAATGGAGCTTTTTGTCGCCTTGCGTGGGAATTTCGTAATAATGCACAGTAGGAGGAAAGGGACAAAATCTGTGAGTGCTGCAACGAAGTGGATGTGTATCATCCAAAAATATGCTTGGCGGCAAAAGAGCGACGGGAAAGTGTCGCGTCGACACATAAAAGGAAATGTGGAGGAAGAAGCATGGGAGAATATAAGGATGGCTTGAGAAGGGGGAAAGCAGAGGGATGGAAAATAGAAAAGGGGGTGGTACAACGGATGCTCGAGCGTGCGCATCATTTTTACCGAGAAGGAGGAGAAAGAAGAGGAGGAAGAGGAAGAGGAGAAGTAGGTGGAGGAGGAGACGCTTCCCTTATTCGACGTCGCCGGGGAAACGAAAAATGGGGGATAGACGGTGCGAGGTGAGGAAGAAAATGACAGATAAAGGAGTTCGAGGGAGTTGCGGAAGGTTCTTTGTCGACTGGGGTATTTAACGGAAATACTAGACGGAATATCTCCGTTGACGCTAAATCACGCGGATATGTGCCGTGTACAAAGTCGTTCATAAAGGAAGCGATGAGAAATAATATGTCGTGACAAAATGATAGTCTTGATTGTGCAATGAATTATTCTCATTGCGTCGAAGATTCTTTTACTAAAAAGTCGGGAATAAAATATATCTTATAGTTTGTGGCTATAATATTTGGTCGGAATTCATTTTTTGCAGAATGATATAATGTATTCTAAAAAAACTATGTTTACTTTGCAAAAACATTAATCCTTTTATTTCTAAAATTTTGATAATTCAAAATATATTTACATCTCATATATTTTATATTAAATATAGTATCTAACCTTTTAAAACTTTTATTTAAACTCAGGGGATATGTATGATATTAATCCAATTCAAAGTTTTTTTGTATTTGAACATATTCTTTAAACTTTACTTAACATTCGCTTTATATCAAATTCAAATTTCAAATAATTTCAATAGTGATTACAGCGATTATATTAAATTTCAGCTCTTAAGTGGTCATTCACTTGTCTACTTTTTACTCTATCTATAATAGAAACATACGAAGAATGTAAAACTTAAAAATCGTACATAACACAAACAAACATTCATGCACAAAGTGATCATCCTAGCCATATATAAAATAAATTGCATTTCTAAATTTAAGGTCGCAGACTTTATCTGTACAGCAGATTTCCGTTTTTATATTAGTATAAATGAACGAGCAAATGCCTAGATGCACAAAATATATTATTATAAAGAACGATTTTATAAGAAGAGCTAAGACTTGCTCGCTCAATGATAAATAAACATAAATAGAAATGAGCATACAGCAAGATGTCATTTGCGAAGTCATATACCTATTTAAGAAAGAAAGATAAATATTTCGGTCAAGTTTTGACCATCATCAGTAAAATTATTTTTCAAAACACTCATAGAGACATAATCACACTAAGAAATTAATTGTTCATACCTAGTCGCTTGGAGATTTCGCTATTGTGCATTTTCGGATTCTCTTGTGCAATCTTCCGCCGCTGTAGCCGCGACCAAACCATGAAAGCGTTCATTGGCCGTTTGATGTGTTCCACTGGCACCTTCTTGCCTGCTGAGCCGAGCGGACTGCTCCCCCCCATGAGGCCGACCCCCATGTGACTGACACCGGCACTACCCGGTGGTGACGTTCCCGTCATCCCTTGCATACTACGCAGGGTTTCTGTGAAAGAGCCGTCGCACATGTTGCCGCCGGCTCTGTAATTAAAGACATCCATCGATTAGGGACCTCTATTAGTTCGATCAACTTTGGGGCTGCGTTCGAAAACACTACCCGAGTGCCTCCAAGTATCATTTTATCCTTGTTCGCTGACGGTTAAACAAGGATAAAATGATACTTGGAGGTACTTCGGTATTCGCAGATACTTTTCTTCGAACGCAGCCCCTGATATATAGGATTTTTGGGGAGATGAAAATAATGGGACGGAAGGTAAAAATGATCGAAATTATCATTAACTTTTCTTTTTTCTATCTTTTGCTACTTCTCAGTTTTTTCTTTTATGGATTTTCAAAAATCTCTTGATACAGAACGCACACTGAATTCTCTCCATCGCACACATATTTGACAACAATTATCTATATCAAACTGGACTTAATTAAAGATTACTAAGAATTCATATTTTTACTTTAAATGTTTATTAAGAGTATGAAATATTGCTGCGATAACTAACAAACAAAATATTATATTAAATTATAATTTTCCAAATAAGAATTTTACATTTATCATCATAAGACAAAGAAATCTATGTTACAAGTAGTCAGTCAAGGACACAAAAACACAAAGAATCGAACACACTAATATGTATCTTACGACTGTTATAATTTAAACGTTAAAAATGACCCGATCGGAGTTGAAATGTTTTATGTTTTGTTAAATAATATGTTTTATTAGGTTCGCAACCCTTCTTCTGTATCATTATTTTTCCTATTTCTTTTTAATATGTCTGAAAATAGTCTTTCTGATAGATTAGAGATCAAAGTGAATTAAATCAATATAAGTTTTAAGACAGTCATGAATCAATTTGAACATGGTAGAAACTAGACGCCTTTTTTTCGTAAGATATGACGAGGTTATTACATTGTTGATTTTATTATTGGTTATTTTTTATTTATTTGATTAGGTATTTTTTACGTTCGTGAAACACAAACGTAAGTCTGTTGACAACATAGTATCGTTAGCAAGAAGCAAAAAAACTTCATTGGCCGATAATTATGCTTCCTGGCGGATACGTGGATTCAATCCGATTGAATATGTGCTGAAAATGACTAAAAACAATAGCCGAAACGTACAAACTCCTATGTAATTATATATTATGTCATAGTAAACTGTATATTATATATTTATAAATATGAGCTCTTATTACCGCGCCAACTCCATATTAATCAATGTAAATTTTCCTTTTTATTGAATTATTTATTATGAGGATCCATTATTTTACTTATTGTTTTGAGACAGTCATTAGTTTTTTATTTCAAATAAATTATTTTATCATGCTATAGTTACTTCCGTATGTTTCTCTTGCGTCGGAAATGATAGATAGTAATAAATCTGTATATCGTGTGTACAGATTCAGTATCAATGATACAAACGCTGAGATCGTGAATTTATGAAAAAAAATTTACGACTAATATAAATCCACAATTTCATTTTATAATGATTTTATAATGAAAAGATGTTAAAATTTATACAAATTATAATGATTTTTATAGGCTATTTATAGTTTTTTAAATTAATCTAATAAATGGTGATTTGGATCACCCCCAATTTCGGGTAATCCAATAAGTTCCTTGATTTTTTTTGTTGTGCAATAAGAAATGTTTATGTATTATTTATTTATTTGATTATAACGATTAAGATTTTATAATAAAACTTAAAGATCAAATATTTTATCATTACTTTTTGGTTCTTTACGCACGCAGTGTTCATAGCTATTTATTTATTATAAGGATGAACAGTAGCATCTACGTCTTCAGTGACTCATAATCTAGATCGCGTAGGGTAAGGTGGAGCTATTAGTGTTAGTTTTAACTTTAAAGTGATATAAAAATAGTAAACAATATTTCTTTGCAATGACGAGCTTATAATTACATTATACATTATGATTACTTCTCGAAAGCACAAGTACAACTTTTAAATAATCAACATGTGTTGTTCAGAATATTTTATGCAAATAAAATAATTGGATTTGTTCTTATTATTGATGCTAAGCTTAATAATATAAAAATTTTATTTTTAAAATAGATTTTTCAGTGTGTTGTGTGTTTCAGTTTTACAAAATTTTTTTCACGATTATTGCAAAATCGACATTTACAGAGATATATCATATGTATAATATATAATTCATAAAATATTTGAAATTAATTCCTTCGCTACGGTGATTATAATCGTTCATCACAAAACTATTTTTTATCCCAAAAAGCATTTGCTGCGTTAAGCAGAGAAAACTGATCAATAATTCTTTGATACAATTAATCCCTACACTTACAAGTAAACCTATCCAAGTGTAATTCTCCGATTTTTATGAGCTTTTAGTATGTTGTTCTCCAGACAAAAATAAGCGACACGTATTTTTTTATACGTACCCATACGCACTTTTAAAGGGTGAAATGCCTCTTTGAAAAAAATCGGTTTTTCTTTTTCGAAGCGAATATCGTCGAAAATATAAGAGATAGAAAAAAATTTCTACAATAAAAATTTAATGGTTGCAAGAGTACTTTAAAAGTATAATGGAATAAATTTTTTTAGTTATTTATTTATTGTATACTTTCACCCTCCACCCCTATTTTCAAAAATTTTTATATCTTTATATGACGAAAATTAAAGAGCATAATTTACTGAAAACAACGGTGTGTATTTAAATTACTTTCCGTAAAATCATTTTTCAAAAATGGATGAAAACGTCTCTATACGCGCTCTAAACGTTAATATCAATGTTTCGCGCGTAAACTTTGCCCTGATGAAATGAATGGCATTCACGAAATGTTGGCAAAGAATAAAAACACGGCGATAACTAATGTATCTTAAACCACAACTCGAACGATAAACATCTCGTTCAGTGAAGACCTAATTTTTTACTTCCAAAAATCTTTATTTTTGGATACTCTCAAATAATTCAACTTTTTGAAGCCAATACATCATTGTATTATTTTTTTTCTAAAGTATACTTTTAAGTATTGTAGCTTAAAAGGAATTATTTTTATTGTCATTCATATATAAAAGTTATGAGTTTTTAACCGATGCGTTTTTTCTTACATTCTCTTCTGCTTTTTGTTAGGTATCTATACCTTTTGTACCTCTTTATCTTTCTAATGCGTTGATTGTCAGTTGTCACAAGCATACGAAACCATTTTTAATGTTTCGAGTTGTGGTTTTTTTTATCATTAGGAAGTGCAAAAATATTCGGTTACCTGCTTTTTCCAAGAAGAAACGCATACATATACTTTGGTTTCTGGAATCGAACTCGGAACCACTGACATATGATGTGATCCACTTCACGCTGCAAATGCTTTGAAGCATTCTTTGATTGGTCAATTTGTCAAATTCTTTCTTCTGATTGGTCAACGAAGCATTTGCAGCGTTAAGTGGATCACACCCATAGACCAGTGAGCTGTCTATCATGCTATGTTTTCGCGCTCATTCTTACATTTAAATAAAATTAAAAAATAAATAAATGCTATGCGTTCAAGTTTTTACAGATTTTTATATAGTCTGAAACAATAAAAAAAAATTTGTTGTGAATCTTACTGTTCCAAGTTGTAGATTATGATCGAAATTTTTATATTACGATGTAGAATTAAAAATGAATAAACATATTCTAAGATGCATCAATTCACTAGCAAACATAAAATATGCTAAACTAAATAATTAGTTGCTGTGACAGTAGCTAACAATTTTTACAATGAATTCGTTTGATAAGTATACTAGCTATTATATTTTGTTAATTTACACCTTGATTACTACATTCAGTTTCAAAAAAGTGGTACACTATAAATTTAGTAAATTTTTCCCAAATTTATAGTGTACCGCTTTTTTTGTAACTGAGTGTATATCAACAAGCATTGCTTTCTTTTTTCGCAACACTATTATGTCAATTAATCGGTGGATCTCAACTGTATCATCATCGTAAAATGTTCGTGGAAGCTCAAATTAGATGAAAGTGGATTTTTCTCGTAGCATATAATTGCTTATTCGTTTACTTTCCGATTCATAAGCAAATTAGTTTTATTCTTTCCTTTGTATCAAAATCATTAACCAATCTCGGCACGTTCTGTGCGCTTTCCACTTCTTCATTTTCCACCCTAAACGTTACTACCTCTGCGGCAAAGGGCCATGTAAATAACTACCTTACTTTTACGCGGATAAACTCGTCAGAAGTATACGGTTCGCAAAAGAGGTTTGTTTGGGAAAATGAGATGCAATGAATCAAGACGGTGTGTATAACGAAATAAGGTATGTTTGTTTTACCACGTAGTTTGGGTCGTCATCAACGATGTCGGCGAAGAGGGACGGGGCAAGTTTAAGATCTTATATATGTACATGTCGGTATCAACAGCTATTTTGTTCGCGTAAATCGTAAATAACGGGGGACACCACGCGTCATATCTTGAGTGGTCCTTTAAACTTTGGCGCTAATTTTGCGTTAAATGCCGCGGACTTGTTGGATAGCGGATGCTCTCTTTTATAAACGCGGTCTCCGATTTGTGATTTCCACGTTTGTGCCTCAAGTCATAATAGCGTTGTTATCTTCGGAATGTTTGCGCTAAATTAATTCGCACACTTCATATGCCTCCTCGAGGTGACGACAGGTGATGTCCGACGGGGCTTTTACGTGCATCTTTTGTGTTCGTAGGTGATAGTAGCTCTCGACCAAAATTTAAATATGCTGGCGTGTATCTGGTGGCATCGTGATACGTGGAGTTGTTCGCGACTCACTTGCATTTCTTCTTTTCCTTTTATTTCCAAATCTTAACTTCTCGAACTAACACAATAATCGCACGGAATTTCCTTGAGTGTACATTAAAAAAACCTGCATTGGTTGGGGGAGGAAAAGAGTGACTGGGGAAGAGAGAGAGAGAGAGAGAGAGAGAGCATTAGTTACGATTTTGTAGGGTCAGGATCACCCCCTGTAGGGGAGGGGACAACGAGAGAGCGAGTGCCACCCTCGAGTGTCATTCAGGGCGGATTAATAGATACGTCGGTTAGTTGAAGTTGCACAAGGGGTGGAACAACCACTCCGTCATCATCGTTCCGTGGTGTTTGGGGTGCTCTTTGAGAATACTCCCCCTTCTCTCTAAGAGAAAGAGAGAGAAATAAAGAGCAAGAGAGTAACTCACTGAGATCGAAAAGATGCTGGAAGTAATGGCTGTTGACAACGAACGACGCGGGAGAGGAATTAGGAAGTGCTAATTGAATGTTTAGGTATATGGTTCACCGAAAAACGCATTGGGGACGTATAGCAAATCACTGCTTATTTTGATCAATATTTTTTATTTATCAAATTTTTGCATTTCATTTGCAAACAATTAAAAATTGCAATACAACTGATGATGTTATGAATAATATTAAATTCGATGTGATTGCGAAGTTCAACTCGGTTTTGCAATTGAAAAGCACAAATTGCTTCTTATAGAAATGTTACGAATCATTTTGATTCGTTATAAATTTAAAAGCAAGTTTATGAGAGATATCTGTCATTTGCCGAAATCTTTCTTCTATTTTTCACGGGATAACTTTTAATTAAGTCGTTAATTAAGTTGTAATCAAGTGAATACGTATATATATGTTTTTCTAAGTTTGATAAATTATTTAATCTATGCGAGCGAGATATTTTTTGATATTTTTTTTTTTTTTTAATCCTATTGCTTTGGCCTTTTCGAGATTCGCAAAAAGCGTAGTGATTTCTATCAGATGCCTACACATATGCCTGGTTGTACACGCACCGGCAAGAATGGCGTTCGGCGTGCGGCGCGGCGGCGCTACACTTGCCGAATTATAAGAAGTACACAATCATATGGGAACTACAGTTTAACGGACGATGGAATTTGGTTAGAAAAATGATCTTGGTAAAAGCCCTCGGTAGGTTGCTGCTTCTTTCCGAAGGGACACAAATTTAAAAAAATATTTTAGTTTCATCGGGAATCGAACTCGCGAGATCTAGCATATCGAAAGTGCGCTGTCTACTTTACTACGCTCGCTCTCTAAAAGTTTCTGTACTATTTTATTCTTTGACGTTTGCTTTTGTTTATAGATAAAAGTTTACAGCAACAAAATATCGTTACACTCGCGTGACCGATTCGAGAAGTCGCGCAAGTCGTGGACGCAAACGTGCACTTCTGGGCCGTAGAAATAAAGTATACATTCGTTATGAAAGAACAAGACCTTATTAAAGAATACAACACAGCGAACGAAAAACAGAAGTGCACATGGTCAGAGTACGTCCGAACGCGGCGACGCGACCGCGACGGCTCAATCTCAAATCTGATGATTTTATTAAACAAACGAATTGCATATCATTCTGGCAATGCGCCACTCAAGGAAGTGTTTCGCTATTTCAGCTAGAATTCTAAGTATTATTCCTAAAATGTATCGCTGATTTTTGTATCTGCTAGAAAATTGTCTATCATACCTAACTTTTAAAGCAGCAATATTCTAACAATATAGTACTTGCAAGAAAAAATAGCTAGGTGCAAGAGGTATATATTTATTTGACTGCCGTCGCTAAACTTTTCTGTCTACCACAGTTATTTTTATAAGAGATCTGACAGGCTTATATTTGACTAGACACAGAAAGACTTTTTTGCTGAACTTAACAAATGATTTATATATAGATATAAATTCTATCTCTGTCATCAATATCGATTAGATATGAGACATACGATATCGTAGTGCTCGCTAGCCATTTACCTATTTCAGCTAACTTTTCGTAGCTAGAAAATTTTTCCTACAATTGCAAAATCACTTTTTTCAGTGGCTCCTAGATGTTACGGATGTCGACACGGCGCGGACGTAACAATATATGCTGCAGATAATGAAGTCTAATAGAATTTTATTTTATTATTATCAAACAATATCATTTTGAAGAAGATAATATATTAAGCCTTAAAACTGGATTTTGATGATTTAAAAATAACGTAAATGTTTTGATTTTTGATATTTCATTAATGGGAGCTTTTTAGCAAGAGACGGGAGCTTTTTAGCCGAATCCATTCATGTACAATATAATAATGTTATGGTTCCACGATATCAATATTTCAGAAAATGAGATGATAACGTGCGAGATGAACGCGTGGCGTCTGTAACACGACTATCATCTTGATTTTTGAAAAACTGAATCGTGAAACGATAACATTATTATACATGAATGAATTCGGCATCCGATGCTCTTTAATTTTTGTTCTAAAAATTTTTTTAATTTTGCAACCCTGATAAGTGGGGGTGGGGGTTAATTAAAAAATTTGATTTTTTAAAAAAATGAATACACTATTATATAGAGCATAAAATACTGTAAAACGTGTGTATAAACCATTTTTTCATACGCGGCATAGTTTCGAAGATATTCGCTAAAAACGAAAAAGTCTATTTTTTTCAAGAGGGTGTTTTACCCCCTAACCTCGAGATACGCCGCTATAAAAAAATATGGGTCGAATATTTTTTGATGCTCTACAATATATCCAAAGCGCATCAAAATCGGTGAGGGGCAGTTCCGACCGTTCCCTTGTAAGATTTTTACATTGTCCCATTGAAAACCATGGTCATTTTGTAATCTATGATCAGTAATAACCGATCGAATAGACGTATTGACTGTGTCTAATGTGACTGCGATGTATTTATTAAACTCTAAAATTCAATGTAACTATAAGAATTTGCAGTATGTAATACATTGTATTTAAAAGCAATATTAATTCGTAAACGAAAATTTAACTAACTCGGAGTTTGTAGCATATGTTATTTCATTATAAGTATAATTTGAATTTAGGTTTTTTTTAATCTTTTTCTTCACACACACATATTTGAGAGAGTATTTTTATATTATTTATTTATGTGTGTTTATTCTATTGAACAAATGTAGTTTCTATTAAAAGATAATTTAGTGATTTAATTCTTGCAAGTGCTTTGATACGCGTATATCTCTTTATATAGAATCTCAACTTAACAATTATCTCAGGCGTATAAGGTAGGTTTCCACTATAAATGACTTACTGATGAGTCCAGTAGTGGAAGCTGGGACGAAACTCCATAATTACGTAATATTCTTCGCCATATATTAAATTAATTCCTTTGTTCACTGATGATGGCCAGATTAAAGGCCGAAACGTTTACTAATAATAAAATTTCGTTTTAATATTCTATGAAATACATTATATTTTCGTATAAGGTAGGCTTCCATTACAATGCCTTACTGATGAATCCAGTAGTGGAAGTCGGGACGAAACGCCAAAAATTACGTGATATTCTTCGCAATATATTAGAATATTAAAGATTTTAACGAATTTATTGGCTCGTAGCTCTGTTTAACGTATTAATTATCATTATATTTTCGCCAAATCTATCCAGCGTCGTGGTATATGCTCTTTTTAATTCTTTTGCATATTAATGATTGTCATGGCATTTATTCCTGTGTGAAATCTTTGACTCGTTGAACAAAATTTTAATGTGGTAGGTAAGCTTTTCAGTCAGCTGACGAGAGACTTGTGCGTGTAGTGTAGATACTTTTTATACTCCTTGAATACGTTCAAGTAATCCCACTTTTTCATGGTTCACTTTCAGGAACACTCACCTCATAAAGTGGCCGGCGGCGGCGGCTCGTTGATGCAACTCCAGATCAATTTTGCTGCCGTGATTGAGACTCTCGTCTCACAAAGCGTGCTCGGTAATAATCACTTAGGAAACAATTGAAAGATCGGTCACTGCACTGCTCAATCTATTAAGCACATAATGTGAGACCAGAGTTCTCACTGTCACGTCACACCGGGTCCGAGTTCTCCTAGCAGTCCCCTCATACGTTGTAGTGTACCGTTGTGCCAGCACTACAACGTATGAGGTTTATCTCTATGGCACTTCAAAAATCACAAGACGCTTTTTAATATCTAAACCAAATTCAATTTTTGAGCGAAGTTGTGCTTAAGTGAGAAGAACGTGGCAGAGAATTTACACACGTTAGGCCTCTGCGGCCTCACCACTGCTTGCCGTGACGATGGATGGCGTCGGAATGCCGTTCGCGAGCGGTGTCGGAGAGCCTTGCAGCTTCGCAAAGCCGTATCTACAACCGCGCATTCCCCGCTCCTTGAATGAAGGCGGAGTCAAGCTTAACTCAACCAATCGTTTTATCGAGGGCGGTTCATTGCACGTTCTCTCTTTTGATTGGCTTTAGTAGCACAATTCAATACATATTAGGTAGTAAAGGTCAGTAGTATACTCTTTCTCGTTTCATCTTCGTTTCTTTCCAACCTTTTGGCTCTCGCGACTAAGGAGATATTTTCTTTCGATATGTGAAAACAATTCCTTAGCGACAATCGTTTTAGCGTTTCATATTGTTTCTTTCACAATAATTAACTTCTACAGAAATAAAAAATTATTAATTGTTAATATTTATGCTACTAATTCTAATATTATAATAATGTTCACAAAAAGTTGATTTTATACAATTTGATACTAACATTGTAAGTGTAAACATTTAGTTAGAGACTTTTCCCTGCCTTTTTTGATTTGTTTTCTAAAGATTTCTTTATAAATATGCAATGAGCAGAGACTGTTTAAGCTTAACAAGATGACGTGCAGTAATATTATAATCTTTATCTAACAATAATTAAACGAATTTCAAACCTTTCGACTTTTACTAATAGTTCTTTGCAGTAAATGTATACAGATTTACATGTGTTTCTCATGATACCTATGTAAAAATTCATTACAATCTATTATGAAACATCTTGTTGTTCCTTAATAATAAATTAAATTAAAGTACATATGGGGCATTCCATGCCAAGTGGGCCACCCAATTTTTGGGCTTTCTCGTCGCAGCGCTCTTTTCGCTTGTCATTAGTGGGCATGAGAGGCAAGTTTGAAAATGAAATGTAGAAGTTACCTTATAGAAAATTGAACGCTCTTTCACGTAAGAATACTTTTTTTTCGATCAGACCGGTTTAAGACGATGTTTGTCAGTTTTAAAGTTTTCAAAATGGTGGCGCGCCTAAAAGGTCAGTCTCAATTTTCTTTTAATATAGCTCAAAATGTAGCTCCAGATCTCTACTTTGTTACTCTAAAAGGACTTAATGGGACACGCATTCGTTTAGTAGTAAGAGCTAGGAAAGTGAGGCAATGTCGCTCCGTCCCCCTGCCGCACCACGAATTTTCCTCACTTTCCTAGCTCTTACTCCCAAACGAATGCGTGTCCCATTAAGTCCTTTTAGAGTAACAAAGTAGAGACCTGGAGCTACATTTTGAGCTATATTAAAAGAAAATTGAGACTGGCCTTTTAGGCGCGCCGCCATTTTGAAAACTTCTAAACTGACAAATATCGTCGTAAATCGGTCTGATCGAAAAAAAAGTATTCTTACGTGAAAGAGCGTTCAATTTTCTATAAGGTAACTTCTACATTTCATTTTCAAACTTGCCTCTCATGCCCACTAATGACAAGCGAAAAGAGCGCTGCGACGAGAAAGCCCAAAAATTGACGGCTCTATAGTTCGGCAACCAGTTGGACAGGAGGATCAAGTATTGTACTTTATTTTAAAGCTAAAAGATGGCGCTTCAAAATGACTACAGAGGGTAGAGGGGGGGGGAGTTCAACTTAAATGGATTCTGAGGTGGCTGAAAGGTAGAGGCCGAGAATTAATTTGTACACTAATAAATACATTTTGTTTGTCTCTAATTAAGGGACATAATGCACTTCAAATGTTAAGAGTTTTTCCAGCATATAAATTGATGGTGTAGAAATACTTTCAACACTGAACAGTATGCCATTTTTAACTCAAAAAATGAAATTTCGAATAAAATACATTTTGGAAGTCTGCTTTTCATATATTTTTAAACTTATTATATTCTTAGGTTTTTCTTTCTTGTATATATTTATGCTCATAGAATTTCTTTTTTTTTTTCCTTTTTAATTATACGACAGAATCGACCTCAGGAATTATGGTTTACCTACAATATATATACATATAACTACCGATTTATAATAGTGTTATTATTATACGATACTTCGATTTCTAAGACAATCGATTCCCATCATACTAATTTATGTAAAATTTCTAAAAACGACTACGTATTTTTGTGAATCGTATTTCCGTAATTTCAAAACGCAAAGGTGATGAGGAAAAAAACTGACGAATACAAAAACTGTAAAATCACATACCTGACTTTTATCACAGAAGCCCTCAAAAATGGAAAATAGGGAAGGTCATATTTTTTAAATTTTTATTTATTCGTAAAGGTGCATGTAGGCAACTGATTTATAAGTATATAGGATCCTTTTTAAAGTTCTCACCTGGGTGCTTCTTGGATATCATATCATCCTTGTTTAACGTTTGGTAAACAACAAGGGGATGATATAATTACCCAAATAGGATTCTGATAAAAGATGATCACCAATATCAGACTTGAATTCAAATACCGTCAAGAATATACCCTGGTAGAAATTTCGGTAAGGAGCTAATAAGGCCCTTGCCATGCTGCCATATCAGGAATTAGCATGGCAAACTTGCAAGTACCTCGCCAACAACGTCACATTTTGTCTAGTAGCGTTAGCGAGCCACTAAGAAGGAAATAACAGATATTGCTTTCTTTCTCGTATTACGCTATCTATATCTTTCTATTCATCGAACTCGTTTCCGACAATGTACAAAGCTATCGGAAGAATACCGAATGGACCAAGGTAGAGAACCAATCAGAAATTGTGTCCGCTTTGGCCTAACTCTTATTATAGAATCTCTAGTGGAGCGGATCCGTGAGCGCTCACTGTTATTGGTATATTCTTTTAGATCAACCAATAGCAGCTAGCGCTCACAGATCTGCTCCGCAACAGTTGAGTCTACTGAACGTGATCAATGTTCAGCGTATACAAACCTCGAAGTTTTAAAAATCGATTCAACTGTAGAGGAGATCGAGGCTAAAAGTTTCAATTTTGAAAAAACATAACAAAAGACTAGAAAATAATGAAGTTATTATCTTCATTATATTGACTAATTTGTTAAATTTACTATATCTTAGGATTCTAAGCTTATATCTGACTATTGTAATAGATTTTTCATAATAGATTTTTGTATTTTGTAACAGATTTTTGTACTTGTATTTTACCTTGGCTCGTTGCCTTTTCTATTAATATTTATCTTTAGCTTTTCTTTTCCCTTTTTCTTATCCTTTGTTTTTAATTTTTTAATTAATTTCATCTTTCTTCCTTTTTTTATTATTTGATTGCTCTTCTGCTAAAGCTTCCTTTTCTGGAGTATCAGTCAAGACAGCTGATTTTCTAATACGACGATACATAGATTCTGTCTCAGTGCCGCTTTCGGTAGAGGTCGTACTACTTCAGGTGAAAATGTTGCTGGTGCTGTTTCATTCTTGGAAAGGTTAGTAATAGGATCTTCAACGCTAATAAGAATCGATTGTCTTACATTATGAATGTTGGAGGATCCTGGTTGAGGTTCGTTTTCCTTTTCGATGCGTTATGACAGCTGGTCCCTATCGTAATAACTAATATCACCTTCAATTTTCAATTCCGATGATCTTAATCAGTGCACAGTTTACAGAACTGAAAAATGTATTTGCAAATTTGCATATGAATAATATTATTGAACATGAAGACGCTTCGATCGAAAATAAAATTAATTTCTTCTTTTTTTATGTAATATAAAATTATTTAATTTAAAAAAAAAAGAGGACAAGAATTTTTAATTTAATTCTTATTTAAGCTTCAAAGATTAATATTAGTTAAATACCGAGAATGAGTGGTTTCAATCATTTTAGAATTACAAAAGTAAATGTTACAATGCCTTATGAGAAAAAACATTTGTCTTCTTAAAGACCCAAAGATGCGATTTGTTGAATATTCCTAACAAGAAGTATATGGTCGACAAATTTTAGTCATTTAAAAGTTATTAAATTTTAAATATTATATTAACATGTGCCAAAGGATCTGCTATTTACGTTATAATTATGTCTCATATTTGTGATGTATTAAAAATATCTTAAAGTATAAAAAAAAAAAATACAATTCCGAATTAGTTGTCCTGCGAAATGGCAAAAGTATAATAACGACGTTATGCGAAGTGGCGTTGATTGCGAGCATATTTATGGAGCAATATTTTTCATGTGGACACTTGATTCCATCCTTTATAGCCTATTGATTGTCTCTTGTTTATTCCCAAGTGCCAATAAGGGTACTTCGTCGAAGGGGATGATCGAGTTTGGATATCGCTTCATCATTAATGTGGTCGATTTACCCAGCCCCATGTTTTCTATCCGTTTTTTTTTCTATATAGAGTACACGAATCTAATTAATAACACTAATGATTTTTACGATATATGTATAGATACTATCAAAAAATTGAATTGACGTTTATTAATTAAATATAATATATAAATGCGTGATTTCTATTTATTTATATTTTTTATATGTAAATTTATATGCTAATTTCTTTGTAGAACATTTACAATTGAAGTATATTACAATTGTTTTAATTACATATAATACAATTTTAATTTTTTATTAACTTTGCTCATTAACACGCATAATTAAAATAATAAAAAAAACAATTGGAACCGAGCAAAAAATATTTCTGAATTTCTGAGATAAGAAGCAATTACAAATTAATTAGTTGTTATATGGAAATTATTAAATATTTTA